ATGGCTGCAATATAACAAAGAGTGAAAAATTTAAGGGGGTCTGAATACTTTCCGTACCCACTGTATATATATATATGTATGTATGTATGTATGTATAGCCTTAAAAGAGGATTCTACATGATGAAAATGTTATGTTGAAAAACATTAAAAAAACAAACAGAAAAAAAAACTTTCAATTATTATTTTTTATTTTATTTATAATTTTTTTATTTAGGTTTTGAAATGGAATCGATGAACCTGTAAAATGGCGTTCAGCTGCCCTGAATAGTAAGTTTGCATTATATATATATATAACACCATAAAGACTGTTTTTGCAAGTTTTGATGATTAAAAGCATGCCATTTTCTTGTAAATGTGTACTAAATAGCGTAAATGTACTGAATAAGTATTATGGAACATACTGTAAAAATAAAGAATCTTGATTATAACTTCAGCCTGTACAAATAATATTTTATGATTAATAACTGCTCCTCACATCTCTATTATATGGCATGCCAGCTATAGCTGAAGTGATTGCAACACACACTCAAGGACCTCATGTACCACAGAGTTCACAGCGTAACACAAACATTTAAATCTGTAGTGATAAACAGAAGTCCTTCATAATGGTTTTACTGTACTCACTGTGTCCTCCCACAACTAAAAGCTTTCAGCAGGAGACCAGATTCACTGCAGCCTGCCAAAAATCCTGCTCTTGATTTTATCATTTAACTCTTATAAAGTATTCAGACTTGGACATCTTAAGCCAAGCATTTTCAGAAGAGGTTTCAAAATTCAAGAGATCTCATTGAATGAGGATCATTCATAGGTGAGTAACCATGAAAACAACAGCTTTCACAATAATTGTTTAATTAAAGGCCTTCATGTGGATTGCAATAAATTACTTTTTTTTTTAAAGAAAATAATAGTTTTATTCACCAAGGATGCATTAAATTGATCAAAAGTGTCAGTAAATACATTTATTATGTTACAAAAGATTTCTATTTCAAATAAATGCTGTTCTTTTGACATTTCTATTCATTAAAGATACATGGGGTGAAAATGCATCATGGTTTCCACCAGAATATTAAAAAAAACTGAATATTAAACTAAATTATTTTCAACACTGATAATGATATTTTTTTAGCAGCAAATCAGCATATTAGAATGATTTCTGATGGATCATGTGACAATAATTTATATTTTGAATAAATTACATTTGTTGAATAAATTCAAATAGAAAACAGTTATATTAAATTGTAGTAATATTTCATAACTATTTGACTGTATTTTTGATCAAATAAATGCAGCTTAATATTACTGACCCCAAACTTTTGATAATATATACACACACACACACACACACACACACACACATATGTATATATATATATATACATATATTAATTATGTTTAAAAAATATATATTTTTAAAAAGGTTTTAGTTATATATAAACACTACATATAAACTTCGTGTATTGTATTTTATATACTGTGTGTGTGTGTGTGTGTGTGTGTGTGTGTGTGTGTATATATATATATATATATAAATTTGAAGGATACATAATGTTTGTTAAATTATGTTTTGAATTTGTTTATTTTTAAAAAGGTTTTAGTTATATATAAACACTACATATAAACTTTGTGTATTGTGTCTTATATACTGTGTGTGTGTGTGTGTGTGTGTGTGTATATATATATATATTTTTTTTTTTTTTAAGGATACATAATGCTTGTTAAATTGTGATTAAATAATTGCAAAATTATAATTTTTGGCTGAAATTTTTCTTTAAAGTCAGGACTATCAGTCTTATAAATCTGTAAATTATCATTAAATTATTCCATTCATCAAAATTATATTTGATAAAGCACACTAAAGTCCAACAGCCTAATTTGTAACCTTCATTGCACTCGTCACAAAGGTCCATCAACCATCCACAAAGCTGTTCGATCAATCAAAGTATGCATGGACCACACTCGCTAAAATAGGTCAGCCATTTCTCCCAGGATTTTCTTAACATATGCTCCGCGCTACAGTTTCATATCCATCTTAACCATGAGAAGTGCTTTCAAAGCGTGATCTATGAGACGAGGGAACAAAAGCTCTTCGACAATGACAAGACCCAAGTGCATGAGCCAGTCCCCCTCTTTTCAAGTAATTCCAGCCATGGCTATTCAGGGTTCACCCTGTGGCAAGAGAGCACTCCAGTCTCCAGAAATAGCCATAGCTCATCTTTCACAAGGACTCAGGTTGTCTTATCGGGATTTGGAGGGGGGGGTGTTACTCATTTGAATTTCTGTCCCTTTGATGAGCTGAACGATTATGACGTGGAGTTAATATTGAAGTTTTGAGAATGCCGCATGTTGTACCCCTGCAGGGTCTCCGGCATGCATAAGGAACACGAAACGTGTCACCCAACATCTTATCACGCGAGTCGGCCTGTCAGGAATGGCCGACATTTGCACTTTAGCATTTCCCGCTGCTGACTCAGACAAAGAGATAATGAACAACTTTCGCCAAAACCTTCTTACAGATGTACATTTTGAACGTTTTGTATGTTTTGATTAAATCTTTTTATCAACTGGAACTGATTGGTCCTAGGCAGAGTCAGAAAATAACTTTTCCATTAAGAAGCATCTATAATGTCAAATACTTAAATTTAACCAGTCATGCACAATACTATAGACTATTACCAATCCAATTTTTTCAACATCAATAAAAGCCATCTTACAATAATGATTAATGTCTATTGATATTAAAGGGATAGTTCACCCAAAAATGAAAATTTGATGTTTATCTGCTTACCCCCAGGGCATCCAAGATGTAGGTGACTTTGTTTCTTCAGTAGAACACAAATGATGATTTTTAAGTCAAACCGTTGCAGTCTGTCTGTCATATAATGTAAGCGGATGGGAATCACGGCTTTGAGAGTAAAAAAAAACATACACAAACAAAACCAAATTAAACCCTGCGGCTCCTGATGATACATTGATGTGTAAAGACACAAAACGATCGGTCTGTGCAAGAAACTGAACAGTATTGATATAATTTTTACCTCTGATTTTCACCGCAATGTCCGAACTGTCCTGAGTGCATTCTGAGCGTGTTCTCAAGAGCCGGCATGTCACGCGTATTCTTCTTCTTCTTCTTGCTTTACGGCGGATCGCAGACTTATAAGTGCATTACCGCCACCTATCTCTCAAATGGACCATTGACACTC